CCGAATCATTCTCATTCCGGAGTACTAAACCTGAGTATATTATTGCCAGAACATGATGATGCCAAGTTTATGACGTTCTAGATATAGGAGAGAGCGTGATCCACCGCCGCTTTACTGCGGAAAATTGCCAACCTTTTCCTCCGGAGCCCGGGGGTCTCCCCCCCCCCCCTCCGAAAATCCCCCCCCCCCTGCCGGAACCCCTCCCCCCCCCCCTCCTCAACCCCCCCCAAAACCCCCCCCCCCCCCCCCAACCCCCCGCCCCCCCTCCCCCTCGAAAACCGAGGGGGGTCACTACGGTTCGAAAACCCCTCCCCCCCCCCCCCCCCCCCTCCTCCAGATCCGGAAAACCACGGGGGGGTCACTACCGGTTGGAACCCCCCCCCCCTCGAAAACCGCAGGGGGGTCACTACCGGTTCGACCCCCCCCCACGCACCGCCAGCAAACGACTCCCGGTCCCTACCACCGCTCGCATCACATCCCCCACTGTTGTTCCCAGCACCACTGTCCTCACCACCACTGTCCCCACTGGTTCCACCACCGTCCCTATTGTCCCCACCAATGCCCCCACCACTGTCGCACTGTCCCCACTGTTCCCACAACTGTTCCCACCACGGTTCCACTCTCCCCACTGTCTCCACGGACCCAACCACTGCCTATCCCCACTGTCCCCACTGTCCCACTGACTCCTCCGCTGTCCCACTGAGCTGTCCCACTGTTTCCACCACTGTCCCCACTGTCCCCACCACTGTCCCCACTGTACCTCTGTCCCATTGTCCCACCGCCGTCCTCGCCACCGCCTTTACCAGTGTCCCCACCACCATTGTACCCTCCACTGTCCCAGTGTTTCCACCTCATTCCCACTGTCCCCACACCACTGTCCCCACCACCGCCGTTCCCACCACTGTCCACTGTCCCCCCTGTTCCCACCATTGTCCCCACCACTGTCCCCACCACTACCGTCCCTACCACTGTCCCACTGTCCCCCCACTGTCCCCACCACTGTCCCGCTGTCCCCTCACCACTGTCCCCGCCAACACCGTCCCCACCACTGTCCGCCGCACCCCCACTCGGTTTTCGAGGGGGGGGGGGGGGAGGGGGGTTCGAACCGGTAGTGACCCCCCCCTTTTCATGATGAGCTGGGGGGGGGGGGGGAGGGGTTCGAACGGTAGTGACCCCCCCCCGTTTTTCCGGGGGGAGGGGGGGGAGAGGTTCGAACCGGTAGTGACCCCCCCCGGTTTTCCGCCAGCAGCGGTAGAACACGCTCTTTCAGATATAGCGGACTAGGGTCAATATTCCAGCACAATGAATCCCAATTTGGAGGCGCGGGGCTGGGGGGAATAATAATTATAATAATTCTGGGATCATGAGTCCAGATTCAGTAGATTCGCTTATGGCTCAGGCGACGCCCCTCAGCCTCCATTGTTATCATTCCAAGGTACCAAACCTGGGTTCATTATTGATCCCAGTCAATATCCCCAGAACACTATGAACCGAGGTTAATATCTTTTTGGGGACGATCTTCCATGAACGTTATAAACCAAGGTGTACAATGTTCCCGGGGGAACCTTATGAACCCCAGTCGATACGTCCTGGAACATTAATACCCAGGTTCATAATGTTCTGGGCGGAAAATTATGAACCCAGGTCACTACTCGCGGCACGTTATAAATCCAGATTAATATCATGTTGGGGTTCGTTCTAGGTTGCGTGCTTAAGTTGGCGGCGCGCACTAGGTCTGTGGAAAAAAACACTGCAAGTGTGAAAAAGCACACAAACACACATACACACACAAGGTGTGTGTGTGTGTGCGTGTGTTTGTTATGTCCAGTGTGTGTGCTCGTATCGGTGGAAAACCATACAGTGTGAAAAAAACACGTGCAGCAAGCACAAGGTGTGTGTGTGTGTGGTATGGTGTGGTGTTGTGTGGTGTGGTGTGGTTTGTTGTGGTGTGGTGTGCTGAGCTGTGCTGTGCTGTGCTGTGCTTTGTTGTGTTGTGCTGTGTTGTTGTGTGTTGTGTGTCGTGTTGTGTTGTACCATGTTGTGCTGTGTCGTACAATGTTGTGTTGTGCTGTGTTGTGTTGTACAATGCTGTGTTGTGCAATGTTGGGTTGTGGTGTGTTGTGGTATGTCGTGTCGTGTCGTGTCGTGTCGTGTTGTGGTGTGTTGTGGTGTGCTGTGGTGTGTTGTGGTGTGTTGTGGTGTGTTGTATTGTGTTGTGTTGTGTTGTGTTGTGGTGTGTTGTGCTGTTTGTGCGTGAGTGCGTGCGTGTGTGTGTGTTTTGTCTGTATGCGTGCGTGTGTATGGGTATGGGTGTGGGTGTAAGTGTGGGTATTGGTGTGAGTGTGTGTGTGTGCATGCGTGTGTGTGGAGTGCGTGTGTGCGTGTGTGTGTGTATGTGTATGTGTATGTGTATGTGTCTGTGTCTGAGTCTGTGTATGTGTATGTGTCTCTGTATGTGTATGTGTATGTGTGTATGTGTGTATGCGTGTGTCTGTGACTGTGTATGTCTATGTGTATGTGTGTATGTGTATGTGTATGTGTAGGTGTAGGTGTAGGTGTGCGTATGCGTATGTGTAACTGTATGTGGATGTGACTGTGTCTGTGTGTGTGCCTGTGTATGTCTATGTGTATGTGTGTATGTGCGTATGCGTATGTGCATGTGTATGTGTATGTGTATATGCATGTGCATGTGTATAGAGATGCATACGTGTGTGCGTGTGCATGTGTATGTGTATGTTTATGTGTATGTGTATGTGAATGTGTATGTGCATGTGCATGTGCACGTGTATGTGTGTGTGCCTGCGTGCAGGTGCGGGAGCGGGTGCGGGTGCGTGTGCGGATGCGTGTGTGTGTGTAAGTGTGTGTAGGTGTGTGTAAGTGTGTGTGTGTGTGCTTGCGTACGTGCGTGCGTCCGTGTGTGTGTGTGAGTGTGTGTGGGTGTGGGTGTGCGTGTGGGTGTGGGTGTGGGTGTGGGTGTAGGTGTGGGTGGGTGTGGGTGTGGGTGTGGGTGTGGGTGTGGGTGTGGGTGTGGGTGTGGTTGTGGGTGTGGGTGTGGGTGTTGGTGTGAGTGTGAGTGTGTGACAGTGTGGGTGTGTGAGTGTGTGGGTGTGGGTCTGTGGGTGTGTGTGGGTGTGTTTTGCCACAGCGTGTGCTTTTCTCCACAGACGCGTACTTAGGTTGGCGGCGCGCACACGGGGGTGGGGGGAGGGAGGAAGGCTCCTCCTTAGAAGGAGGCTGCTTCTTCGAAGGCGCTGGCCTTACATCTGTAGACAAGGCCCGCGCTTTCTAAGAAGCAGGGTGCTGCCAAGAGGCCTTCCCCCCTCCCCCTGCCCCCCTCTGCGCGTGGCCATTAGGCTTGGCCCCCCGCGGTCTCCAAACATTTCCCACAACAAAAAATCCCTGCGGCGAAGGATCATTCTCACGTGTCCCTGCAAGAATCGTCAGATCCGGGCGTCGGGAACACACACACACACACACACTCACGTTGCGACGGCAAGCTCTTCTGGCCCGAACTTCCGACACGACCCCGACTGACCCAGGTTGGCGTTCACCCACCAAATCTTTGGAAGCCCGAAATGGGTACGGAAAGAATGGGTAAAATGCCCAACCGCAGTTCCTGTCCATTCTGAACAGGACTCGCTGTCGGTGCCGCCGCGGCCTGTGTCCACTTGAGACAGAAGGCCGCCTGCCCAACAGCGGCCGCTGTTGGTTTGGGACAACATTCTTTGTTGGGCATCGTACCCATTCTTTCCGTGTCTATCTCGCTCGTGCAGAAAGTCAGCCCGTCCGTGGCCTGCACCAGCCAGGCCAAGTCCCGGGAACGGGGGCTGGCGCGGCACCCTTCACGGGAGGGGCCGAGAGGAAGGGGCCCTGAGACACACAAATACATACACACCAATAAAAGGATTCCCTGTACGTTCCCATATTTTCGGGGTTTCCGTCCCCCCCCCCACTGCCCATATGTTCCCATATTTTCTGGGGAATCGTCGATTAACTGTGTCTGTGTGTTTTCTCCCCTCCCGACGAGAGCTGGGCAGGCGCTCCGCGGGACAAAAGCGGGAGGGAAGCTGGCAAGCGCCGCCCTGCCAGTCGCCAAGGGGGGGGGGGGGGCTCTGCGGCTCTGCCCCCGCCCCTCCTGCATCCCGCGCCCGGGCTTCCGTCGGGCCTGTCCCGCTGCAGGAGGAGCAGCCAAGAATAGTCGAAAAATAATGGGGGGGCGATTGTTTGACCATTTTTGAGTATTCCCTCCTGCATCCCGCGCCCAGGCGTACGTCGGGCCTGTCCCTCTGCAGGAGGGACATAACCAGCCTCGAACGTATCCCTATCCCTAAGGTGGGCGAGCAAAAAGCGAGGACAATCTCAGGGATAGGCCCTCAGAAACTGAGGGAATCCTTAAGATCGGCATCGAGGTGAAGTGATGTCAAACATAGGGATAGGGAGATGTTTCAAACTGGTAAGAATACTCAAGAATAGTCGAAAAATAATCAGGGAACGATTGTTTGACCATTTTTGAGTATTCCCTCCTGCATCCCGCGCCCAGGCGTACGTCGGGCCTGTCCCTCTGCAGGAGGAACAGTCGAAAAAATAGTCGAAACATAATCAGGGGACGATTTTGTTTGACAATTGTTGAGTAGTCCCTCCTGAATCCAGCGCCCAGGCGTAAATGAGGCCTGTCCCTCTATAGGAGGAATGATCAAACATTGTCCAAAAATAGTCAGGGGACAATGTGTTTTACCATTTTTGCATATGTTAGGGTAATTTCTGACTATTTTTTTCGTCCAAAATCCCCCTGTAGGGGGACAGGCCCGACGTAAGCCCAGGCTCAGCGGTCCACGCGTCCACTGATCGAAAATCCCCCGGACGCCTGCCAGACACCGTCCCCCGCTGGCTTTCCCCGCCTCAAAAAAACAAGATCGATCAAAGTCCAAGCACGCTCTGCCCTGTACCCAGCACCCCGCGTGCCTCCCCGCCCAGGCGGCCGCAACCGATAGCCTCGGCACTCACCCCAGCTTCACAGTGAACTCATCGATGAAGCTGTGCGGCGGCACCTGCAAAGACAGCGCTGCCGGGACGTCATCGACAGGGAAAGCGGGTCAGGAGACCCCAAGTAGGCACAAGAAGCAAAACGGGATGATTAGGAGGAGAAGGCGGGACCCCCCATCAGCCGAGAGGCGCCTTCCTTTATTCCGCAGAGTATTGCAAGGCACAGGCGTGTCTCTATTCTGTTCACAACTACCGTTCCAGCTCTGTCTCTGAGTTAGCGCAACGTCAAAAACGTGCCCCCATCTGGGCAACCCGCTGCCGAATGCGTCATGCCCGCTCTGCCCCTCATCCAACTTGCCCTCCCCCTCCATGAAGGCTCCTCCTTCCTCATCCACGGCCTCCGCCCCCTCATCCCCCCCAGGCACCCTCCTTTTGCCCGGCGACCCTACCAGGTCCATCTATTTCCCCCTCCCCCTCCCCCTCCAAACTCGCTGCCTTCGGCCTTTCCCCCCTGCCGCGCCACCGTTCGTGCCCCCGTCCCCCCTGATGCTGCCCCCTTCCACCTGGCATGCCGACCTCGGCCGTATGGCTTCCACCCGCCATCATCAGCCGACGTCGTGGTAAACAATGTTTCTGTCTCGGCCCTTGGTTTTGCCCTGCCCAGCTGTGGCCTTGGTTTTTTTCAACCGTGGCGTGGGAGTCGGTGCCCTACACCTGGCTGGGCCAGGGGGCTGCTTGATGCCTCTTGAGGTTATCTGACATCCTCAACCCCACTGGGAAGAGCAGGAGGAGCATGGGATAGGGAGGAAGGAGCAGAGAGCAGGGACGAAGGACAAGGGAGCTGGGAGGGGGGTAGAAGAGGCGCTCGGCTCGTGGGCTTCAGCATGGCGGAGGGAGGAGGGAGGAGAGAGGAGGACGTCCCGTGGGAGAAGGGAGTGGATTGGGGGGTGGACTGGGGCGGAAAGACGACAAACGAGGAACGAGGCCAAGGGGCTCGGGGAGGAGGGACCGAGGTCAAGGAGCGAAGGAGGGGGAAGGAGGGCGGCAAAGCAAGAAGAGGAGGTAGGAGCAAGGGGGGTGGAGCGAGGGCAAGGAAGATCGACGGGGGCACCTCCAGGTTCTTGGGCGCTGGCCCCTGGCGGATGCGGCCCGCGTGGTCGTAGTGGGAGCCGTGGCAGGGGCAGAAGTACCTGGCGCTAATCTCGAGGCGGTGGCAGCCCCGTTCTGCACATCATCGCGCTCCTCCTCCTCCTCCTCTTCCCTTTCCTCCTCCTCCTCCTCCTCCTCCTCCTCCTCCTCCTCCTCCTCCACCTCCTCCACCTCCTCCTCCCTCCCTCCCTCCCTCCCTCCCGCCCCCTCCCCCCCCTCCCTCCCCCCTCTCCACCCCCTCCCTCCTCCCTCCCCTCCCTCCCCCCCACTCATCGCTCCGCCCTCCTTCCCTCCCCCCCTCCCTGCTGCTGCTGCTCTCCTCCTCCTCCCCCTGCTCCTCCTCCTCTCTCCTCCTGATCCTCACCTCATCCTCATCTAACCTCCCTCCCTCCCTCCCTCCCACATCCCTCCCTCCCCCTCCCCCCCTCCATCCATCCCTCCATCCATCCATCTCCCATCCCTCCATCCCTCCCCTCCCTCACTGTTCCCTCCCTGCTGCTTCCCTCCTCTCCTCCTCCTCCTCCTCCTCCTCCTCCTCCTCCTCCTCCTCCTCCTCCTCATCGTCCTCCGCCTCCTCCTCCTCCTCCTCCTCCGCCCTCCCCCCCTCCCTCCCCCCCTCCCCCCCTGACCCCCGCCTCCCTCCCTCCCCCCCCCCCCCCTCCCTCCCCCCCTCCCTGTTCCTTCCCCCCCCCCCTCATCTCCTCCTCATCCTCCCCCCCTACTCCCTTCCCCCCCTCATCGATCCATCATCCTCCTCCCTCCCTCCCTTCCCCCCCTCCCCCCCCTCCAGCCCGCCCGCCCGCCCGCCCCATCCCGCCCCCCCGCCCGCACCAGCCCGCCCCCCCCGCCCTCCCGCCCTCCCGCCCTCCCGCCCCCCCCCTCCTTCCCTCCCTCCTTCCCTCCTCCCGCCCTGTCTCCTCCCCCTCCCTCATCTCTTCCCCTCTCCTCCTCCTCCTCCTCCTCCTCCCCTCTCTTCCTCCTCCGCCTCTCCCCTCCTACTCCCCCCTCCTCCTCTTCCCCCCCCCGCCCGCCCGCAGCCCGCCCGCCCGCCTCCATCCCCCTCCTATTCCTCCGACCCCGCCCCGACTGTACGGCGCTAGCGGGAAGCGCGGCCTGCTGCAAGGCCGCGGGACGTGCCAGCCGCTAAGCGGTCAGAAGCGGGCCCTCAGAAGACGATGATGATGATGCCAGCTGCGCAGCTCTCTTTTTGCTGCTGCGCTGGCCGCGCGCCCCCGCCAGCGCCGTCGGCGCCAGGCGACCCCTCCTTCCGCCGCGCGAAGCGGGCCTCGCCGCGGCGCCTTTAGACACCGAGGCAAAGCCCAGGGCGGGCGGGCAAAAGAGGCCCGTTGGGGCCCTGGGAGGGCTTCGAGCCCCGAAGGCTTGAGCGGGAGAGAGGGAAAGAGAGGAGCAAGCAGAGACAAGGGCAGGGAGAAAGAGGAAACCCAAGCCGACTGGGGAGGGCGGGGCCCAACCGCTCAGGACAAACAACTAAGACCCCGCCCCCACAGCACGGCGCTAGCGAAAGCGCGGCCTGCTGTAAGGCCGCCGGGCGTGCCAGCCGCGAAGCGGTCAGAAGCGGGCCCTCAGAAGACGATGATGATGATGATGCCAGCTGCGCAGCTCTCTTTTTGCTGCTGCGCTGGCCGCGCGCCCCCGCCGGCGCTGTCGGCGCCAGGCGGGCCCCTCCTTCCGCCGCGCGAAGCGGGCCTCGCCGCCTTTGTTCTATTGTTCTAGCGGTACTGGCGCATGCTGCCAGTGACGCTGCACGCTGGTCTGGCGGGCCTTGCACGTTAGCATTGCTGTGCGGGCGCCGTGGTTGGCGCCATCAAAGTTGGGTGCCAGGCTCTGCGCAGCCGGCACCATCTAGACTCTGGGTCGCGCACAGCCGGGCGCAGGCGCCGGCGCGCGCGCGGGGACCAACTGGCCCGCCTGCTGGCCGATCGCCGCCAGGCAGCTGATGCCGGCGTGCACGGCTGTCCTCCGTGAGGTTAGGCTGGGGCTCACGCTGGCGCACCGATTGCCGGCGGAGCCCGACCTCGGGCCAGGGCCCGAACTCGCCGCGGGCGGCGCCTGGCTGATGCCGGCGCCCCGGTGCCCGCCGCGCGCGCTGCGGCCTCGCAATTCTCCCGGCTCCCCGCTCCCCCCTAGGCGTTCGGGGCGGGCAGGGTCCGGCCCCTGACAGAGGGGGTTCCCCGGGCCAGCGCTGGTGCGCGGGCCCGCGCCCCGCGCTTGAATTCTGGTGCCGCGGGCTACGCTGGGCTGTCAGGCCGTCAGCTGCCGCGACCTGCGCTGGCTGCAGTGCGCCTGGCACGACCAGGCTCGACGAGAGTGCCGGCGCGCCAGGCGGGCCCAGCATGGCCCCAGTTCGGCAATTGCAGAGGGCGCCCACAGTACCCCAAGCACTAGTGGAGCCCGAAGCGGGCAAGCTCGCGCGCGCATGACAGCGCGAGAGTATTGGCCAGTGCTGGAGGCACGGGCTGGGGATGTCCTGCGGACGCGCGGCTGGCATGCCGGCGGCGCGGGCGTTGAGTTGCAGCGTCCAAGCGCGCGCGGCGGTCAGGCCGGCGGCATGGACTGGGCGCGCGCCAGGTGTACCTGCACCAGCGGCGCCCGCCGCGGCCCCTCGTCATGGGCTCTCACGCCTGGCGCCCTCGGCGCCGGCGGCGGCCCTGGCGGGGGCGCTGTCCTTCGCCGGTTCGCCGGGTTGGTCAGCGAAGAGGTGTCCCTGGCCATCTTGCTGGAGACGCCCTTCATCGGCTCGTGTGACTCCCACAGGTAGCCGTGGAACGCGTCTGACTGCCAGCGCCCGAACCGGCGCACCCGGGAGAGGTCTTCGGTCACGTGGTACATCGCGGTCGCTCCGCCGATCCTCAAGGAGCGGCTGCCGATCTCCTCCCTGGAGAGCCCGGCGGCCAGCCCCGCGACCGTCAGGAAGTGCTGCACCTCGGCCCTGCGAATCGGGGTACCTGGCGCCCAGCGGAAAATGGGCAGCCGTTCTTCGGTGCCCTTTATCCGCTGGGGATGGTGAGCCTGGAGCCGCTGCACCGCCGCGATCGGGCAGAGCGTCGTGCCGGCGCGGTAGTGGTTCCTCACCGTCCCGACGTTGAGCTGGTCCGTCTTGCTGCCCTTGATGTAGATCACCATCTCGTCGGCGTCCTGGAAGCTGGGCACGCGTTTGCCGGCCTTTCTGGGCTCTACGTCCTCCCCGTGCAGTACGCGCTCGAAGGACCACGAGCGCCCGTCCTGGAGGAGGTACTCTGAGGCCCGCAGGAGGAAGAAGAACGCCGTCACGATCGCCGCCCAGATGACCACTGTGTCCTCCTCGGGGAGCTTGGCCTCCAGCTGGAGGAAGCCGCGGAGCCACTCGAGCATGGCTGGGGTGACAGGTTTATCATGCTTGGTCTCGGGTCCTTGCCAGCGTTTGAGCCCCGCCAGGGTGCTCCAGAGGCGACCTCTGTGGAGCAGGGGGTCCGAGTAGCCAGCTACCAGGTGAGCGTAGCGCACCGCAAAGACCTTCTGCTTGATGGTCCCTTCCGTCCTCCCGACGACCCGCGCGAGAAGGACGGCGAAGTTGATGAGCGCCTCCTCATCGGCTAGGCGCCCCTCGCGGTCGCGGCCTGGGAGCCAAGGGCTGAGCCCCTGCGCCTGGCGCACGGCTACCCAGAGCCGCCATCCCCCCTCGTAGCCCGCTCTCGTGCCTTCCCTGAGTTTTTGCAGCATGGCCTCCATCTTCTGCTGCGCGAACCAGCTGGCGGAGCCGGCCCCGCCTGGCTCAGCTCGGCCGGCGGGGGCGAGCGCCTTCCCGGGTTGTTGCTCTTCCTCGCGATGCCCGGCGCCTGCGGCTTCACCAGGTTGGCAGCCGGCATCTCCTTGGCTCGTCGGGGGCTCTTCTTGCGTGGGCTCTTCGAGCGGGTCACTCGCTTGTCCAGCTTGACCGCCTCTGCGGCGGGGGCCTCGCGAGGTCCGATGATCGCGTCCTCGTCGATCTCCCGAAAGCGGATCGCCTGGGCACGCCGGCGACTCTCGTGCATCTCGTCGGTGAGTGCGCCGCCTGCTCTTGCCTCGTCCTCCGCCGCCAGCGCGAGCGTGGGTCGATCCGGCGCTTGCGCCCAGGCACGGAACCAGCGCTTGGTGGCCTCCCACGCGGCCTGCTCCTCTGGGTCATGGCATACTCCAGCGCGCTGCGTGCTGGTGCTGCTGAGAGCCTCCGCCACTGCGCCCAGCACTGCCTCTGCGGTCCTCGGTGGGAGGGCTCTGGCCGCGCCCTTCAGGAGCTCATCCTCCGTGGAGCCCTCGGCCTGCAGGCTGGCCCACTCGTCGTCGGCCCCTCCTTGCACACACCAAACCTCTTGGGGTGTCAAGGCCTGCTCCCGTCTTCCGACGTCCGCCTGTGAGCACCTGCCTGGTCCGCGTAGTGGTATCCCCGTGGTGCGCGCAGATTACCTCGAACTTCGCGACCACGTAGCCCAGCTGCTTGAGCGCCTTCTCGAGCCTGGCCGTGTCCACGCCGTTCGGGGCGTCCGCGATCACCACTTCGGGGCTCTCGCTGGTCGCTGCGACGAGGAACGCCTCCATCTCTCGGCCCTTGGGGTCCAGGGACAGCGATGCCATGAGCCAGTCTGCCTTCTGGTTTTCCCCCGGGCTCTGACCCACCAAGGCGATTGAGGGCCTTCACGTAGGTGTTGAGGAGGCTCCCCACCTCTCTGCCCAGCTTCCCGTGGAGTGGGAGGGGTCTTGGCGGCCCATGCCCCCTCTGGAGTGCTCGGTGCCGCAGGGCGGCCTCGGCCACTGGGCCCGTCTCCCCTGGGAGACGGAGGAGGCGTTCCTTGGCGTCCTCCAGGATCTGGCCCCAAGCTGCAGGGGGCTCGAGGCGCTCCCACCCCTCGGTGGCCAACGTGTCGCGAACCTTCTTGACCTCCTCGCGGGTGAGCCAGTCGGCCACCTCGTTGCGGTAGGTCCGAACGAAGAAGGAGGTGATGCGGCATCCGTGCATGGCTTCGATCCGCTCCACTAGGCGAATCAGGTGGCGTGCGAGGGTATTATTGGGGCTCCTCTTAGTGAGCCACGCTTTCACGTTCTGATTGTCCGTGACGTAGAAGACCAGCTCACCCTCCCACTTCGGGCCCTGCTTCGTAGCCAGCGCGACCACTGCCAACAGTTCGACCACTGCGATGATCCAGTCCTCCTCGCTGCTCTCCCCCCCGACCGCCTGGCTCAAGGCCTCGAGCAGGGGCTTGGCGTCCGCGGCCATGTACTCCGGCGTGGGTGGGGCTCCTTCTGCAGTTGCACGTCCCCAGTCGATGGCGCCGATCGACGAGGTGGTGGCGTCGCCGCCGGTCCACCTCGTAGGGCGTGCTGTTCCCGGCAACGCAAGGCGCTCACGTACGGAGAGCGCCTGCGTGAAACTCGCCTGGAAGGTCGTGCTCCAATCCTCGGGAACGTCGAAGAGCATCCTCAGGAAGCCCACGGAGGCGCCCCACTCTTCCCAGGCGAGCTCAACCTCTTCGGGGGTGCCTTTTGGCTCTGCCCAGCTCGTCCCGCTGCTCAAGAGCCTGTCCACGCAGAGGTGCCTGGCAACTTAAATTAAGACTCGAAACTATGGTTCTTAAAATTAAGATGCAGGTCCATATATTAAGACCATCTTAACATACGTTGACTTTGAACAGCGAACACTCGTTGCGAATGGGAAAGCTTAGGAAAACAAAAAAAAACCTCACCTAACCTTTCCCCTGCCACCAGGATTAACATGAGAGAGGGGGAGAGGGGGGGAGGGAGAAAGAGAGATAGAGATAGAGAGCGACCTTCCCTCGTGATTTCTCGTTGCCTTCCCTGGTGTCCTATGGTTGGTGCCCTGCGATGACGACGACGACGACGACGACGAAGACGACGACGACGACGACGACGACGTGGCCTCCAGAGTGCCCCTGAAGCCCCGAGAAGCCTCCCAGAGCTCCCGACGACGTGGCCTCCCTCTAAGTGCCCCTGAAGCCCCGAGAAGCGTCCCAGAGCTCCCGACGACGTGGCCTCCCTCAGAGTGCCCCTGAAGCCCCGAGAAGCCTCCCAGAGCTCCCGTGACGTCCGCGGCCATACTGATTCAAGCGAGTGTTCGGGGTTCGGCTCGCTCTTCGAGGGACATGGCGGGCCGTGCTCCATGTCGGCCTGCTGCCAAGGAGGACCTCGTGGAGGTCTTGAAGAAGCACATCACTAGTCCGAGCAGCGTACCGCCGTACGCCGAGACAGGAACAGGGGGGCTCGAGGTCAAAAAGATCGCTGTTCTGACGAACATGTGGCAGGAGCTGGACACAACGTTCGGCGGACTGTCCTTCAAGAAATCGGTTTTCCAGGAGGCGCTGAAGGATCTCGAGTTGGTTCTTGGAGATCAGCAGAAAGAGTGGGTGACAGTCACGTGGAACAGACTCAACAAGATGATGAGGCACATCTCGCAGGCGAGGCAGAGAGCGGCCCCGCCCGCCTGGGTTGTCCAGATGATGAACATGGAGGCCCAGCCCAACGGCGACGACGAGAACCCCGAGGAGGAAGACGAGGAGTTCTACGACGGCAGCTCGGACGATGACGGCAACGACGACGGGGATCCAGAAGGAGGTGCAGCTGCCGCTGACGGGGTTCAACCAGCAACGGAGTACGTGTACGGTTGGGACGCTGACGGTTGCAAAGCCTTCAGGGCGCCGCTCGCAGAGCCCAACAAGAAGGAGTACACGGACGACGTGGAGGTCAGCTCGAGCGACCCGAAGGGCTTCATCATCGCGAAGTTCTCCGAGGAAGACGTCAAGGAGATCGTGGACATGACGAACGAGGAGTTCGAGGTGAACACCAAGATCCGCTTCGAGAAGACGAAGGGGACGCTGTGGACAGGCAAACATATTGACACGGGCGCTCAAGTTACCATCCAGAAGAAGGTCGACAAGGCTATTGGCTTGGTCATTCTCGTCCACTCTGAGAACATCATCGAGGATATGCCTGGCAAGAAGAAGCAGATCCTCCAGGTCATCATTGGGCGCGACAGCACGCACGCATACCGCAAGGACGTGATGGCGAAGACGGTCGGGCTACTGCAGAATTACATCCTCGGGTTGATCGAGCGCGACTCGTTGACGGCGAAGCGTGACGAGTTCATGGCATCGCTCAGCCGCCCATCGAAAGCCCAGTCTAGCGGCGAGGCGGCGGCGGCGTCAAGCAGCAGTGCACCGGCGGCCTCGAAGAGAGAAGCGTCAGCCTCCAGCGCGGCGAAGCCCAGCAAGAAGCCCAAGTCGCCTTCCCCGATCGGGGACAGCGACGACAAGGAGGTAGTGGTCAAGGTCGACTCCGACGGCGACAGCGACGACTCCGCGTGGCTGGAGCACCTCGAGAAGGTCAGGAGCCAGCGCGAGCAGGAGTCGATCAACCTTTGAGCTGGATATGTTGGAGCTTCGTCGCGCTTGCCTGTCAGACACGATTTCGGGGAGATGTGAGCATCTCTCAATGTGGGGGCGATCACAAAACATGAAAATAAATCACAAACGAGTCAAGCCCCCCCCAAAAAAAAAAACAACAACAACCACAACAACAACAACAGCATCGAGCAAGAAAAACGCCAATAAAAAACAATACCTCAACAGAACTACAGCCCCTGGATATAAACTAACATTCCATTCCGCAGCCATTTTGTCTTAAGTATATAGTTTGCGACTTGGGACCCAGCTACCATCGACCAGCCTCGGAGAGGGCCAACATGTCCGCAGATGCTGTCCCGATGATGTCCGACATTCCATCGCCACCCCAAGAGCCCATGACAGCTGCTGACGCTTACGATTGGGACATGCTTCCAGATAAGTTGGCCAACCCTTCTCGCTATGAGATCACTGCTCAGAGCGAGGCGCTGCTAGACGTGTATAGCAAGCCCATGGTCAAGTATGAGGAAGACGGCGCAGATGCTGATACAGGCGTTGGCAGCACGTCGGCTGAGCACATGTCCGATGGCGAGTCCATGGAGGATGAAGTCGACATCGTCAGCATGCAGCTCTTGGCAGGAATGCCTCCAGTCGATCACGGCGACGTCGAGGCATCTGGGAAGGCTGGTGACAAAGCGCTGCAGAGCATCTACCAGAACATAGTCGCCGCAGGGGTCCCTCCCGCTCCCGAGGACAGCAAGGAAGACGACGATGATGATGCATTGATCCGACAGTTCAAGGACGCGCTGCACGGCGGCGAGATCATGGCGAGGTCGGCGATGGGCCAGAAATTCGCCACTGCCATGAAGAACGACGAGAAACTCGAGAGGGACTACGGGAAGTGCAAGGGCAGGGATCGGCAGAGGAACTTCAAGAAGAAGTGGGTGAAGGACACGTTGAACAAGCTGATCGAGGAGAAGATTTCAGAGAAGGAGGAGGACTCGACCACTCGGGGCAAGCGCGGCAAATACAAACCGTTCAGCATCATCGTGCGCGACGAGGGGAACGATGAGCTGGCGTACAAGGCGGCACTGAACGTGGTGAAGAACTGCTTCAAACTCATGCAAGCGGGGAAAACGTTTGTTGGCGAACCGTTCATCAAGACCGGCATGCAGAGCGAGAGGGTGAAGTTTCTTCACTTGGACGAGTACGTCGACAGCAACTTCAAGCGCACGAAGGGCACGGAGAAAATCTTCAAGAAGTCCGACACGGAGACCGCAGGGTCCGCAGCCGAGTCGACCACGGAGACCCCGAAGACGAAGCAGGGCCAGGAGACGCGCACCCCTCCAAAGGGCAAGGACCCGACTACGAATCCTGCTAAGAGACAGCGCGGAGCTCAACCCGATGCTGGGCAGCCTCGCAAGGCGGCCAAGTTCTCCTTCACCAAGGCGTTGAAGGCATATGCGGATGCGTCCAGGGCTCAGCAAAGCTGCAAGGATGTCACGCACGCGATCTCCACGAAAGTGGATTGGCAGAAAGCTGTAGGAGATGGGATGGTCCAGGACCTCCGTGAGGCAAGGAAGGCAGTGGAGACCTTCCTCGAGAGCTCTCCCTATTGGGCGAACGTCGGCCTGGCGGACAACTTCCAGAAGTGGGCCAAAACAAACCTGGAGGCGACCGACATCGTGAATGAGACCAACCGCTCGGGAGAGCTGGACTCCCTCGTCGCGAAGCTGGTCGAGGCAACCAACCGTTGCAAGAGGGTGTATGAGGCCTCCATCGCAGCCTGAGGTGCCACTGTTTACGTTAGTGGGAGCGCGATGCTGGCCAAGGGGATCGGTCGGCGTTGTTTGATCGAGTGCGGCAGGGCCCGCACTGAACAAGCATTCGAGCGATGCATCGTCGACCGACTTTTCAGGTCAAAGAGACAGGCCATGCCGAAGAAAACTATCAAAACACAGATCGCATGGACCTCGACAACGAAAATCAACAACAACACAATCATATATCGAAATATCGCTACGTTCTCTGGTAATCACCTCGGTGCACGCCCCATGATGTCCAATGATCTTCAATGATTTTAATCCAGGGCGAAATTAGACCCATGACGTTTTCGCCTGAGACATCCCCTCAAAATGGCAATGATGTTCAATGATGTTGGTCACCATGACGTTCAATGATGTTCAATGATTTTCAATGACGTTCGATGCTAGGCTGCCCCTCCCAGGTAAAGCAGAAAACTGTATAGGAGGAGGAGGGCGAGGGGGCGTAGTGGGAGGAAGGATTGGTTGGACAGACGTGGAGGATGATCAGAGTGAGCAGCATGATCAGCGGCAGGTGACACCAATTCGTATTCGCAAACAACGTCCTTCACACACACCCCCCCCTAAGGATCCTTAGGTGGGGGGGAGTGAAACTGATGTCCAAGGGGCGTGGGGAACCTATTGGGGGTCTCCCAGAACCTTACGCATCCATTCCTCCTTCGTTCCTCTCTTCCTCCTCCCCTGTTCCGTCGGTAACTGCTTGGGCTCGGATACCAGTTTCTCCATTACAAGAAATGGCAACCTTACATAGTTGGGACAAGGCTGCCTGGTGGGATGCACCCAGGGGGCTGGGCGATGACGGTGAAGCTATTGATAGTTTGAGCCTTCAAGAATGTGGTGAGACATTGTTCGAGTATCTCGTGCCCTTGAAACAGACTGGTGCCACGGTGCATGCAAATACCATATGTGTGATTGCGTACTGGGCTACAAAGGCTGGTGCGAAAGGTGTTGAGGCTCTCTCGTTTGGTCCTGGTAAGCAGAGCGGTGCATACAATAAACACTTGGACTCGGTGCTCGGAACCCGACGCAAAGACGAACAATTCTACATGCTCGATGTCCCGTCCACTCGCAGAGCGGACCAATCCATGGTGACCTTGCATGTGCCGTTTTCTCCTCCTCACGTCTGCATTCAGAATGAGTTGAAAATGGATCCGTCGCTCCAGGGTAAGCTCGAGGCTGCTATATCTAAGAAGGCCCTCCCTCCAGTATATTTCAGCCACGACGTTGTGCGCGCCTCGCCCGAAGGCGAACGCGCATGGCCGCTCGCAGTATACACTGACGGCTTCAGCTTCACACGAACAGATAGCTGCATTGCGCTGTGGGTGTATAACATTATTTCAGGCGTGCGTCATGTTTGCGCTGTGATGCGGAAGTCTGATCTTTGTTCCTGCGGTTGCAGGGGATGGCATTCGGTTTACGTGCTCCAGTTGGCGATGCGTTGGAGCTTGATGTCGCTAGCTGCTGGAATTGCCCCAGCCAAAAGGCATGACGGAGCTGACTGGCGAGAGTCTGAGACACTGGAGGCAGCGTGCTCCAAATCAAAGTTGGAGAAGGCTGTCGTGCTGCGGTTGAAACATGATTGGGTGGAGTCTACGAAGATGTACGGTTTTCCATCCTTCGGAACAATCAAGCACCCTTGCCCAGTGTGCGAGTGTAATCATGATAATTGGGATACATTTGCTGGCTTATCCTGCACTGGCGATATGCCATGGCAGCCGCATACCCTTGAAAAGTACGACGATGCTTGCAACCGCTGCGAGTTTTGGATACTTGTTACACAAGATAATGTCCCACGGCTCCGTGGATCGTTGGAGTACGACAGGACAAGTCACGGCAACAGAGGCCGTTGTCTCATGGTTGACCTTCCAGAACTCGGCCTCAAGAAAGGAGATCGCGTCGAGCCCCACCGTGACATGCCTAACATTTTGGACTTCGACGGGAAGGACAAACCGTTCTGGGCTCTCTTCTGGAGGCGGTCCGAAGAAACGTCGGTGCGGAGGAGGTGTCCTATTTTCTGTCCGGAGACATACATGCATCCAGGCAGCATGGCAGTCGACTGGCTGCACTGTCTGTCCCTTGGCGTGTTCGGTTTTTATTTGATTTTTTTGCATTTGGTGGCTATTCCATCACAATGTGTTTGCCAGTCCGTCCACAAATAAAGATGGGAAGAATGCGCATTCACTCGACCGCATTCGTGCCATGTTGTTTGCATGGCTCAAGGTAGAGAAAAAGGCTGGCAGAATCAATGCAGATATCCAAAACTTAACATTCAACATGTTTGGATCAGAAGGATCAGGTGAGTTCAAAATGCAAGGGGCGGAAACGAACACAATGCTAATATTTGTTGTTTCTGAAGTGCTAGCGCTGCCGAGTGCCAAGAACCTCCCTCTGTATTCGAGTGTGCTTCGGTGCGGCCAGGCATTGTGTCGAATGCTTGGCATTCTCAAGGCGAACAAAGGCATTTGGTCAGCTTCGGAAGTGCAAACGTTTTGCGACGAGTACAAAATTCATTTGAGGGTCGCCAGAGAGTTGGAAATCAAATTCAAACCCAAACACCACCAAGGCTGCCATTTTGTGAGCTCCGTGTATGTGACTGGGTCCCCATCTGCGTACGGCGCCTGGTTCGACGAGCAATTGAACGGATATTTGAAAAAGGTATGTGCTGCCGCTCACAGGTGGAATTGGATGTGGAGGGTCTTGGTTGAGTTTCGGGGAGCGCACGGCGACGCAGCCCCTGCGCCGAAGAAGAGCAGGACTGCGTGAACAGCAAGCTGGTCGGGCTCAGGAAAAAAAAAACAGAAACAAAACACACACGCACACAAACGGTTTTGTTATATCATCGTTCTTGCCAACGTCACAAAACAAACACACACACACACACAAACACAAACAACACACTCAAACACAAACACAAACACAAGCACCTACACACACACACACACACACACACGCACACGCACCGCTGACAACGCAAATTTGCAGGAACGCTCTTGTTATATAATCGTCACGCTTCGCGTTCGGCACGTCTGGAAACTCGCGTTGTGTGTTTTTTTTTCTGGCGCTTCGCGCTCTGCACATTTCACGGGTGCCATGCGGGCGCGTTCCCTTGATGGTGCCATGGCGGTGCTTGTGGTGCACTGCGCGCGCCTTGGTGCCCTGCGGGCGCCCTGTTCCAATGGTGCCTTGCGGGTGCCACCC